TGGAAGTGATTTTGATAGGCATTTCATTCATTCCTAGACATTTGTTTTCAAGGCAGCTGATATGTGTTCAAACCATATGTGTTGCACTCAGAATGTCTTTTCGGTCTTTGGTTTGGTTGGTTTGGTTCAGTCAACAATGCCAGACAGTGAGAAGGTTTTGAGTTTTGGGTTGCAAAGCCACAGATTTATGGAGGTGTTTGCAAAAGTGGCTACCTTCGCTCTCGGTTCTCCATTTGCCAAATGGGAATTAAAAATATTCACATTGTCCTCATTTTTCATAATACTGATGTCCTGCATCTGTGTTGTTCTTATTTCGTTTAGATAATTTCTATGCCTATTTCTGGTAGGATTGGTGTGAAGCACTCAAACCGTCTCGCCCTGGTGAGCAGTCTGGCTGCTGAATTCTGCACCAGCTGCAATCTCCAAACCATCTTCAGGGGCAGCCCTACGTATAATGCATTGCAGTAATCTAACCTAGAAGGTACCAGAGCATATACAACAGATGTTAGGCTATCCCTGTCCAGATGCTGATAGAAGGCACTCTGCGCCAAGTGTTAGCCTCAAGTGACAGCAAAGGATCCAGAAGTACACCAAAGTTATGTGACCATTCATTCAGAGGGAGTGTAACCCTATCCAGAGCAGGCCACCTCCCAACCATCTGATCTAGGGAACTGCCCACTAACAGTGACTCAGGACTCAGCTATACAGCTGCAAATAAAACATTTTAAGTGCGTTGTAAAGTGCATTATACAAATGTGACACTAGATGGCGATGGTGAGCTATGGCAAATGCAATACATTTTTCAAAACGTTTTTTTAAAAAGGCATTTTCACAGCATTTTTTATATGTGTCTAGATTCCACCTCAGTCTTATCTGGATTGAGACAGCAAAGTATGCCTTCTTTGTCACCTTCACAGCCACTGAGTATGCTTGATAATGAGCCCTCACCAGAGTTCAGTTGCATTTATCAGGAGTTTTCCTCCACTTGTATTCAAGCCATCTTCCAGCTTGTTTCATTGAACTTGGAGTATACTAAGGAGCCAAGCAGGCTCTATGAAGATGATGGTGACTCAAATCAACTTGGAAATACAACAGAGATACAGTCGTACCTCCGCTTACGTATCCATCCGGTTACATAAACTTCGGGATACGTAAGCGGCAAAGCCAGAAGTATATTTCCAGGTTTTTGCCATGCGTGTGTGCACAGAAGCGGTCTCTCAGGTTGCACAAACCTCAGGATCCGGCCAGACCTCCAGAATGAATCCCGTCCGCAACCGGAGGTACCACTGTACTGAAAACTAATTACAGTGGTACCTCAGGTTAAGTACTTAATTCATTACGGAGGTCTGTTCTTAACCTGAAACTGTTCATGACCTGAAGCACCACTTTAGCTAATGGGGCCTCCTGCTGCTGCTGTTGCCACTGCTACACAATTTCTGTTCTCATCCTGAAGCAAAGTTCCTAACCCGAGGTACTATTTCTGGGTTAGCGGGGTCTGTAACCTGAAGCGTCTGTAACCTGAAGCGTATGTAACCCGAGGTACAACTGTACAATAAACGCAATCAGTAAGGGCCTAAAAAAATCAAATACATCTATATAAACAAAAGACAGGTCTAGCAGCTTCCTTCAAAACAAGAGCACAGAAAAACAGAGCAACCATCCTTAACCCTGCGGCCCCAATAAAGCTCTGCAGGATGGAGCAGAAGTGACATGATCCCTCTATCTATTTTCTTCTTCATCTGGCAGTCATAGCCTGGACAAGCTTTGGATGGCAAAGCTGAAAGTAGCCTGAGGAATGGGGCCTTCATATCAACTCATGTCACATTTTTGGAAACCTAAAGACCTACCGGGAAGAAGAGAGAGAGCTTGAGAATTCAAACCACATCAAGCTCGTTGGGCACGCAGAACCCTCAAGAACCTGGCCTGAAACCCAATGCTTCTGATAAGTGAAAGCTAATTTAAAATGTTTAAAAAGTGTCCAAGTGGATCTGGAGCAAGTACCAAGAGCCTTGGAGATAAGGAACTCTGATATATAAGTCCCTCATTTACACACACACACACACACACACACACACACACACACACACGGCTGGCCCCTCCTGGTTTTCTTTTCTCTCATTCCTTCTCTGCACTAAGAAATAAATTGTCTGCATCTGTCAAGTCTGATCCTCTCAGCGTTTTAATAAGAGGCAGCAGAGGACCGAGACGGGGATTGAAATGGATCTCCGAGTCATGATGAGGCGCAGATATTCCTCACTGCACCCTGCCCAGGCTGCCCTGTCATAAATCATTGTTTGTCAAATCCAATAAATCTTTGAACACACACACATGCCCAAATGACACCGCCTCCAGGGATCTCCAAAGAGCTTTGGGCTTCCAAAGAGATGAAGGAGAGAGGAAGAAATGTTGTGCATGGCAAAACCAAGAAAAGGCTTTTCACTCATTCTTCCGTCACTCCTACTCCTTTCAAATCCACCACATGCTGAGGTGAGTGCCCTGAGGTGGGGGTGGGGGGCAGAATGGCAGTCTGCATGCGCCCATGTGAATGCAGGCAGAAGAGGGAGCAGTGCGTAGGGGCCAGAGATTTCACTGCCTGAAATCTCTTTAGATTTAAAGCACCCTTACGAAAGCGCCACCCCCAGTTCACCAAGGAATCTATGTGCATGTGGAGTGCCTATAATTCATACAGGCCAACGCACTGTGGGGAAGGGAAGGCTGCTAGGTCAAAAACACAAGACTACAGGATGGTGTGCCGCAAGACTCCGCAGAGTTTTCTACACAGCCTTGAAGCATCTTACATTAGGGGCAGTCTGTTAAAAATAAGAAAAGCAAAAACCCTTGCCATTTACAATGCCACTGTCCTCCTTTATTTGCTCTGTATTTGAGAGCTAGCATGTGGGAAATGGCATTTTGTCAGCTTTCAAAATGGCCTCATATATTTATCACCTCACTCATGGGTACTGAGGGAATACGGTTTTAAAGCCACTCAGATGAATGCAGTAACATCTTCACTTTAGTCTCTCTCTCTCTCCTCCCCCCCCCCCTGAAAAAGTGACGTGTATAGATGCACATGCTGTGTTAAGGTGCAATTTTCTATCTGTATGTGTGTGCACATTAAAAAATACATGTCTGTGGGATTGTATCTGAGTGAAACTGAGTGCATAAATAGCTATATATGAGGAAAGGATTGTGAGTTTTCTGTTGATTTGTGTTGGTGAAGTTTCATGCCTTTAAAAAAAATGCTTTTATGAGCGTAGAATGTGTTATGGCATTATGAATGCCATTGTGAGAGGTTGTGTGTGTGTGTGTGTGTGTGTGTGTGTGCCTACGTCACTGACAGCCTTTATGTTCTCATAATATTCACAGTCACTTCACTGGTTAGAAGATGAAGCAATGCAGCCCCTTTATTTCTCCAGAGTGCTGGCAGGTTTTTTTCCTTGATGCAGTATTAATGAATACTGGTGAAGTAATTATCAGAACCCTCCAGGGGCCTGACTGTGAAAACAAAGTTTCGCATACCAGTTTTGGAAGGCTCCTGTGCTCTTTGCAGACTTTTCCAGGAAAGGAGCTGGTTACGACTGCAAAGAAAGCATTGGAAATGGCAGAGATGTCTGATTTTTCAGCCTGTGAAAACAGACACTCCAGGCTACAGAAGGCACAAGGATAGGGAGAACACACCAGAGACCCAAATCCAGAATGTTAGCAGAAAGGGCCCTTTCTCCTCAAAGCTTTTTACTCCCTCAGCTGTCTTCAGGATGGCCTGTATCAGAAGTTCCCAAACTATCACCTGGGGAGCACTGGTCATCCATTAGCTCCATTCAGATGATTCACAGAAAAGTTCCAAAATAGTCCTAAACTTGATTCCCCCTCTCCGCTCCACCCCATCCCAACAATGGAGATAGATGGCCATTTTTAATGTGGGGAGATTTATTGATCAGGCTAGCATGCATGTGATGCACAACACGCACATGACCACATGCACATGCAACACCCGCCCCAAATCTTGAGCAAAAGATGGTTCCTCTGAGCCCTTGTGTCTTTGTGTGGCCTTAGGATTCACCTTTGAAGGAGCACAATTACCATATTTTTCGCACCATAGGACGCACCGGACAATAGGACGCACTTTGTTTTAGAGGGGGGAGAACAAGGAAAAAAAAATTCTCCCCCTCTCTGCCCAGCGCCCCTTCAGCGAAGCGGCAGGAGGCACTGCGCAGAGAGGGGGAGAATTTTCCCCCTCTTGTTTTCCCGCTCTAAAACAAGGTGCCATTTAAGGTGCGTTCAGGCGGCTACCTTGGAAGCCTGGAGAGCGAGAGGGGTCGGTGCGCACCGACTCCTCTCGCTCTCCAGGCTTCAGATTCCTTTCGACCTGCTCTTTGGGGCTGGCGGGGGGACGCCCACCACCAGCCCCAAAGAGCAGGTCAGGAGCAGTGGAAAGGCGCAGCGGAGAGGCTCCTGCCATAGCCGCGCGTCACCTCTCCAGCCGGGAGAGGGTCGCGGGGGCTGCTTTAGTCCTGCGCGCGCTCTCCCGGCTGAAGAGGTGACGCGCGGCCATGGCAGGAGCCTCTATAGCCGCACGTCACCTCTCCAGCCGGGAGAGGGCTGCGGGGGCTTCTTTAGCCGCACGTCACCTCTCCAGCCGGGAGAGGGTTGCGGGGGCTTCTTAGCCCCGTGCGCGCTCCCGGCTGGAGAGGCGACGCGCGGCTATAGAGGCTCCTGCCATAGCCGCACGTCACCTCTCCAGCCGGGAGAGGGACGTGGGGTGCTTCTTTAGCCCCGCGCGCGCTCTCCCGGCTGGAGAGGTGACACGGGGCTTTAGAGGCTCCTGCCATAGCCGCGCGTCACCTCTCCAGCCGGGAGAGGGTCGCGGGGCTATGGCGTCTTCACTCCATAGGACGCACACACATTTTCCCTTCATTTTTGAAGGGAAAAAAGTGCGTCCTATAGAGCGAAAAATACGGTAACTTCCAGGCTACTTCTTCTTTTGGCTGCCAAGAGATTCAGCTTGGATAGCTCCATTGGTTAGAGCGTGGTGCTGATAATGCCAAGGTTAGAGGTTCAATCCCCATATGGGACAGCTGCATATTCCTGCATTGCAGGGTGTTGATGATCCTCAGAGTCCCTTCCAACTCTAAAACTCTATGATTCTACCCTTGAAATAGGAACGTGCTGGTTCTTGCAGCTAGGGACATCCATTCCTGACTTGCAGTTCCTGTCCAGATGTTGGGTCCCAGTTCCCATCAGCCCTAGGAAGCATCTCACTGGACAAGAGACAATGGAAGCCATTGCCCAATAACTTACAGAGGTCCACGGGGTCCATTGCCCAACCTTTAAAAATTGTTTTCTCCATAAAGGCATATTTCTGGTCTGACTTGTCCACACGTTCAGGCAGCAAAATGCCTTGGGTTAGCTTTGCACTTGGAGCAGGACTGTGGGGCACAATGAGCAGCAGAATGAGTGGGGGGAGCTGCATTTTTAAGTAAGTGAAATGCACATTGCCACCTAAAAAGATGTGCCCGTAAGATCATAAGAGTCTTGAATCTACAATTGCCTAAGTGCCCGATTGCTTGAACATCCCAAATATCAAGTCGCTGAAGATGTCCATTATGCTCATAGCAGCTGCGTCAGACTACAAAGAGCGGAAAGCAGGAGAAAGATCTAACCCAGAATCAATCACGGAGGAGCTGCTTCTTCATCTTGAAAGGATTCCATTGCCCAAAGCTGGGAGGCAAGATTACAGTACTGTACACTTTGGAAGGCTTGCCAGGCTTGCTGTCCTGTTTTGCCACCAACTGTCCATTAGGTGGCGCTGTGGCTCCAACTGGGCAGCACTACGAGTCGGCAGGCCAGTTTTAGTACCAGATGCGGGGAAATTTCCCTTGGTGCACAAAATAAAAATAAAAATAGTCAATCAGTAGTAGTAGCGGAAATGTAATAAATATATATTGAAGGGGAATTTTGAACCCTAATATTTCTGTACTTGGAAAGCATATTTATTCTATAATCAGTCCTGACTTTCAAATACTGGAACAATCTCCTGTGAAAACTAGTTATGCATCAGATATTGTAAGAGGACTTAGCGCTTGTGAGGTTTGCAATCCAGGTGAGCTCTGATTTGGGTGATGCTTTTGAGGGGTGACTCCAGTATAAAGAGCTGTCACACTACGATAGCACCTAGAATAAGGTAACCAGATTTTTTTCAGTGAATCCGGGGACACTTTTCAACTTCAATGGATTTTGTATGGGGACTGATTTGTCAATCCGGGGACTGTCCCTGGGAAACGGGGACCTCTGATGTGCTTGCTGCTCCTTCTTATACTCAAGTAATGATGAATTTGTGATCAAAATGTGAATCTACATGAAAACATGTAAACAAAAATGACAAAGAAGATGGCTAGATTAGACTTTGGTTCCAACCTTTCAAACACGTTTGCCTTAATTTAAAGTCATGTGTGTACTGGAATGCATTTTTTAAAATACAACTCCCGTCATTCTTCCAGGACAGTTTACACACAGACCTCCAGCATATTTAGCCTTAGTATAGAACTTCCATGTCAATAAACATTTGCTGGAACAGGTTAAATGTCCCAAGACCTAAAAACTAGCAGGATGGAGCTTTGATGGAGACTACTGGTCCACATTTTATTAGATTGCCCAATTTCTCAGCGAAATACAGTTCTAAGTGGTGGTTTTAAACGCCATGCATAGCCAAGGACCTCAAGGTCTAAATGATTTCTGCTTCCCACATGGACCTACCCATGCCCTGATAAGATCCTCAGAATAGGCTGTCCAGTTTCAAGGGTACAAAGGGTAGCGATGGGGAAGATAGCCCACGCTTGACTCCAGCTCCTGACAGGGGAATTGAACCCTGGTTTCCCAGGTCCTAGTCCAACACTCTAACCACTGCACCAACTAGCTGTTATGGATCCTGGTAGGGTGCAGCATCAGGGCCTCCAACATCACACCTGCACCAGGGCCCATAAACCCTCTAGGTGGCCAGGCAAAGCTGACCACCAGGTGGGGAGGCACCAAAGTCACTTCTCACTAAGGGTGCTACTTCTCCTACGGCTGAGGTGAAATGGCCACACTGTCTGTGCCCCTAGTTCTCCTACGGCTGAGGTGAAATGGCCACACTGTCTGTGCCCCTAGTTCTCCTACAGCTGAGGTGAAATGGCCACACTGTCTGTGCCCCTAGTTCTCCTACGGCTGAGGTGAAATGGCCACACTGTCTGTGCCCCTAGTTCTCCTACGGCTGAGGTGAAATGGCCACACTGTCTGTGCCCCTAGTTCTCCTACGGCTGAAGTGAAATGGCCACACTGTCTGTGCCCCTAGTTCTCCTACGGCTGAGGTGAAATGGCTACACTGTCTGTGCCCCTAGTTCTCCTACGGCTGAGGTGAAATGGCCACACTGTCTGTGCCCCTAGTTCTCCTACGGCTGAGGTGAAATGGCCACACTGTCTGTGCTCCACACAAGGCACCATTTTTGACTGATAAAACAAAGAAGTGCTACATCTGCATTAATCTAACTAAAATTAACTGGAATTTGTTGTCATCCAGCACATATTTTAATTACCATGAAATACTTATATTGAACAAACGCTGCATCATTTTTGTCACACATTTCCAGAAGGGAAAAAATGAGTTCAGAGTGGGATGACTTCTTGTGGTTTGACATGCAATGTTGATGTTTATAATGCTGATGTTTTATAAGCCATCTTGCTTTTTTCTTTCTCCCAAGGAAGTCAGAGTGGAATTTTTAAAAGAAACAAAATCTGACAGCACTGCTGGGGGCTAATCTTGTGATCTGTTTGTGGGAAGGGGGGAGGCTGAATGGCTGGCCTGGAAAAACTCCTGTTCTTGCACATCTTCAGCAGTAACACACAAAGGAAGTCAAGCAGCTTTGTGGCAGAATCTGATAACGCGTTGCTCCTTTGTGGGGAATACTCGTGCCAGAATATATGCACACTAAGTAGTAGTATGATATTACCTTGGAACGGAAAATCAACATGCATTTTGTAGATGCAAGAGCGTGAGGGAGCAGGCAAGAATGTGGAGAGCTACTGCCAAAATCTAATATTTAGCATCCATTTGGAAGGTTGCATTCTGATACATGGACCATCACGTGGGTTTGTTGTTTTCCAGGTAGGGGCACTACTAACTAGGAATGAGGAATTTCAGCTCTCTGGGTTTCTCTTTTTTCCTATCTCAAATTCATTTCTCCACATTTGTGCAGCAAATCCTCATGGAAATTCATCAAATTTTAATGTGATTTTTTCCCCAATAAACACATTTTGGTGTTACATATACATTTTGCAAGCAATTTCCCCTAATATAAAGCATTTTAAAGTACATATATGATTTTTTCTATATACTGTTGGGGAACCTAAGTTGTAAAATTCAGAGAAGTACAGATTTTGAAATATAGCTGTGTTTCATTGAAATTGGCCCATGGACACCATGAAACATGGTGCTTCCATGTTCACATTTAAGCTTTCGAGAGAAGAAATGTCTGGTGAACTGCCAACCTTTCATGATAACCTGGCTCCTATTTTCCCACTAGAAGTGCTTCTTTTGCAGCAAAATCCAGTGTGACTCACTACCAGGGGTGTAGCATCAGGGGTGCCAGAGAGGCCATGACTCTGGGTACAGATTATTGAGGGGGCACGAAGCAGGCACCCCCATGCAGGCACCTCTGGCCTTCTACTCCTCTCCGCAGGCATTGGTTCTGGACTGACCAGCCTCTTCCTGGCACTATGAAGTGTGGAGTCAGGCCAGCCATTTCCTTAACCAGCAATCTGTCTTCATTGGGGCCAGCCCAACCATGAGGCAGACCGAGACAGCTGCCTCAGGTGGTGTAATACTCCACAGTATTCCGCCACGATACTCCACACCTGCCTCCACACGATCTTGTGGGTCTCTCATGAGATCTCACCAGAACCAGCTGCAGTCACTTCTTGCTTCTCCAGTGGAGACCCTCACTTAGGGGCTAGGGAAGGTCATGTGAGGCCTCTCATGAGGCTGTCATGAGATCTCGATGGAACTTGGAAGCCACAGCCACAAGGCTTCGGTGGAGGTGGCAAGGTGGAACATGCGCAAGGCAGCACCTTCCCATTTCGCCTCGGGCAGCAAAATGGGATGAGCCATTCATGGTCCTGGTAGTGCAGACCTGGTTCCTGTTCCCTGACTTCCTGGTTTAAGCCTGCTGGTGTCTTCAAGTAGGTTGTTCAAAGCCACCCAGTGATTTCGTGGCTAAAGGAGGATTTGAACCCTTGCCATGCCAGTTCAAGTGTCTTTCCACTCCACAGCAGGCCGTATCCCATTTCTACAATGACTCGTTTAGATTTATTTACTTACCCGGCATTTTTTTTTCATAATAGAAGCATTGTTTACAAAGCCACTGAAATCAGATTCTGCTTTGCATTCTTCCACTGGAAGAATACCACAAGTAATACAACTAGTATAAATTCTAAAAGCATTCTGTATCTTCACCAAGGGACCTGTGACTTGGAATTTTATGCACTCTACCTACAAATGGTTCTGATTACAAACCAGGATGCAACAGTCTGTGCCAAAAGAAAAAGAAAAAAAGAATGAGATGGTGTACAATTCAGCTTAGTTATCCATAGCACTGTTGTTGTGTTAACCTAGGGATGGGGGGCTAGCTGCAGTCTGTGTCAGCAGATCTGGCCGCTGGAATTCTTGGGAGACAGACAGAGCAGTTTTCCTTTGCAAAGGCAGAAGCAACATTGTCACCGACTTGTTTTGAAGGCAGTCGCTGTCATCAGTTGAACATGACCCCTCGTTGCTGTGCCATGAAAATATTTATGTGTTGCATGGCTAGCGGTGGTTGTGCATGCTCAGCACATTAATAGGCACCCATGTTTGAAATTATTGTCCCGAGTTATTTGGTGGCCACTGCTCTGTTTTTCCCCTCTCCGAAAAGCAAAGTCACTGTCTTTGGAGATCACTATCTGCCTTCGATGACCTTCAGCACAGAACAAAAGCTTTGAGTGCCTCAGTGACTGTACTCAGGGCTTCTCTCCACTCCCTTTACCCCACCCTCACCCTGTCTCTAGGCAAGCCATCAAAACAGTCAAGGCCGTGGTTTGCTGATCTTTTGACACCTAGAAGTTGCAGCCAAACTCTTAAGGAATCAAGGAGAGAAACACAGAATTGGAAGCTGGAATTAGATGTCGTTTTCTAAGTAAGACAAAGGCTTGCTAAGAGCTTAGAAGTCCTCAATTTTTATTTTTACAAAATAGTTTTGGATTCTTAAAATTATTTCATGCATTGAATGCATTTGCATGTGACTGCAGTCCCTGACACAATGGAAATCAAGAGAGAACCTTTACTTAAAGAATTAAAATGTGAAACTGCTGATCTTCTAACAAACAAAAAAAGCCTGTAACTTGTACCAGAGGACCGGAAAGGGGTCAACACCAAATTTTATAATGGGATCTAGGGAGAATCTGGGAAATTACATGCTAGCTAGCTTTCTCTTTTGGGAAAACTGGTGGCAAGCATTGTTAAAGACAGAATTGCCAAATATATAGAAGAACAAGTCTTGCTGAAGCAGTACTGTCCTGGTTTCTGCTATGGTAAGTCCTGTCTCACTAACCTTAAGCATTCCCTGAGAGTGGCAACAAGTATATAGATCAAGGTGATTCCAGTTGGCATCGTGTGCTTTGGGACTAACCAGTGAAGTTGCATGCTAGAAGATTCAGGACAGACAACAGGAAGGACTTATTCACATAGCACAGAGTTAAACTATGGAGTTCACTTCCTCAAGATGTCATGATGGCCACCAACTTGGATAGGTCTAAAAAAAAAAGGATGTGACTAATTCTTGGGTGATAAGGCTATCAATGACTACTAGCCAAGATGTTCCACCTCCACAGTTGGAGAAGTATGCCTCTGAAAACCAGTTGCTGGAGAGCACAGGGGGAGAGAGGGCTCTTGTGTTCAAGTCCTGTTTGTGGGCTTCCCATAGGCATCTGGTGTGAGAATGTGATGGGCCTTCAGTCTGATTTAGTCTGTTTCTTAATATGTCCTTAGAATACAGTAATAGAGGGTATCTGTCATGGCATCACACAAGTTTATCAGAATGCGATAAGTTTTTATGTTACACATTTGGGTGGGGAACACTCCCAAATAGAAAATTGTTGGGCTGAAAGGTTGGGGAACAATGTCAGTATCTGAGATTCCATAAATGAAGGAGATGAACATATATCCCAATCAGTGAGGTGGGTAGGAGGAGAGAATGCTATCCCATGGGTTTTCTGTTGCCTCTTGCTATTTATTTGAGACAATACTGTTCGTTATGGTTATTCCTTCAAAGAGTTCAAGAAGAAGAAATGTTTGTACTTCATCTAAAATCTAGAGGGGACACAGACTCCCTCAGTATTCCATCCTTAAATTGTTTTTGGTAGGTCCATCACATATATCCAGGATGTGGATAAACTGCTAAACTGAACTTAGGTTAGAAAAACATTATTCTGTAGTACTTGACTCCAAGCCCTTTGCAGCCCAGCAGGGAAATCAAAGACGACAAACAAAAAGATTAGGAGCAGGGGTGATTAATTTTATTATTAATTAGGCTGTTGGTTTATTTATGTACCAATTGGTGTGCATGATTTCATAAAAGGACGTAAGAAGAAAAGCCTTTTTGCCCTGAGGCATAAACAGATATGGAGAAGTCTAGATGTGCCCTGTGTGGCAGAGAAAGTATTTTCTGCCTCCCCAGATCCAGCAGAGGAATGGGGGAGGGGCAGTAGGGGTGAGGGTGCCACCTGGGGGACAAATGGGTGGGAGGTTTGAAATATTGGAATAGGCCAACAGCAGAGATGGGGCAAGATTATGTGCTATGCAGGAGACTAGAGTAACTTCCAGATGACCTGAGCATTTGTCCAGATTTGTTTGTTTGTAGGTTCCACTGCCAAGAAAGGCTTGTCTTCCATCCCCACCTGCCTATGTTTATTTGGAAGGGCAGCACCTACTGCTTGACATGGTCCTTTACGTATCCAAGCCCCAAATCATTTCATGTTTTAAAGGCAAACACCAGTACATTGAATTGAGCCCAAGAACAATTTGTACAGAATAACATTGCAGGCAGGCATGCCCTGCTGCAAGCTGCACCGAGGACTCGTTTTGCACCAACTGCAGTTCCTGAGCCATCTTCAAAGGTAGCCCCACGTAGAGTGTGAAACGTTTTTCTCATCTGTGAATCTCTCTGCTCCCTTATGATATCAAGAACAAAGAGACTGAATCTGTAGGGAGAATGAATAAGATGCTTTATAGCATCAAGGGTCAGAAAGGAACAGAATGCTAAGTATTACACCATGTATAGCACACGAGTCAAAAGTATGCTACCATGCTCCTATATAAATTCCCAGTTATTTAAAATATAGAACCTTCATCAAAAGATATTATAGCATAGTAATTGCAAAGAAATTGATAGGTCAAGATGCATGCATGCTGCAGGCCCTCCGACAGGAGGGAAAGTAATTTCATAATATAAGCCCAGTTGACTTGAGCAAGACAAGGTAAGCTCCAGTCTACTGAGGAAAGCAAACTTATCAGAAGCTAACAAAAGCAAATAAAGCCAGCTAGCCTGGTCCAAGTTTCTCAGGTCAGATTTGGTTTGATCGGAGCATGTGAACAAAACTCACTAGTTTTCTGAGGTAAATGGGTGTGTATTGGTTCAGCATCATTTCATTCTGCCCAATATTAACATTCCACTACCCTTCTGTGACCTCAGCCAGCAATTTCCTGAAGCATCAGATCAGCATATCCAGTTTCAAGCAGAGCACTGTCCAAATAACTGTTGGTATGACAAAAGGCATACCAAAAGAAGGCAAGGGAAAACTGAAGCTAAGTCCGTAAAAGAAACAAAGAGGCGATTGTTAAATGGCCACAGGAACACCTTTGCTAAAGGAGTCTGTGCGCTTTCCTATTACTTTTGCCTTTTAAAAAGCCAGGATTGAGCGATTTATCCTCATGACCCTATGGAATGCTGCGAGTCAGTTCAAGTGTGCTCTTCCTTAGTGTGACTCAAGCCTTTTCCGAGCCTCTCACACCTCAGAATGTGGCAAGGATCACTTTGCCTGATCCAGCAAAGCATTTTTTCTTGCCCATCTCATATCCTTTCACTCATGACTTTTCAGGTCTTCAGGAAACTTAACTGTGTTCCATTATGCTCATGACTTGCCCAAGGCCACCCAACGAGTGGCCTTGGGAAAGTTATTATCCCTTAAATCCCATTACTGCAATGGAATTTGAACTCGGTCTCCGGAGTTCAAGGCTACCCTCCCATCTTTAGGCTCCATGTCTCAAACCAGCACTAGATTCAGTAGTCCCAGGATACCTGAGGGGGCAGGGGAAGAGCAGACAGAGATTGGCCAACCGTAGACAGCAAGCTGTTTCCTTGATGCAAGCCAAACCCAGCTGGTATTTTCTTACTCCTCTGACTTGCATGTGCGTTTTACATGACTATAGAAGGAGCAATCAGTCAGCTCCCAAGAATCTTAGCAACAGCAGCAGCAGGAGCAGTGTCCCCTGGAAAGGCTTGCAGCAGCTGAAACAGTGATGACTCAGCAGCCTCTCCCTCTCTGGCCGCTTGTTGATCCCTGGCAAGAACTCCAGCCCAAGTCCTCCTGACTCCCTTGTTTGGGTCAGTGATTTCTTGCTGGCACCAGCAGATAAATTCCTGGATCCTGCTGCCCTTGGCACTAGAGAGTAGCCAAAAGGAACTGACAGCTGCAGCCAAACTGTGCACAGAGCGCATGCTTTTCCATTCTTGTTTGCTTAAAAACAGAGCAAAAGAATTAAAAGCAAAACAAATCCAATGTGAAGTTAGTCAATGATTACCGAGCAATAACAGAGCGCAGCGTTAGCAGGTGCGGGGTGGAGATGGACTGTCTCTTCTGGCCTTTGGGAAGGAAAACAGCTCACTGAGTTTCAGGGTGGGCTGGGGACACGGAATTACATCACCAGAGGCTTTGTTTATTTGGCTTAAAATAAAGTCTGGAACTTCAGCCTTTGGTTACGTGCATGAATCTTTCACCTGGTTTAAATTACAACTGGTGCAACAAGTTGAGCTGGTCCCAAGTCAGTGACCCCCTTGAGCTTAATACTTTGACCACATTGCACCCAATAGTTCACTTGTCATTTTTGATGCGGTCCGGTGGAAATGGTGTATATATAGATATAATTTTACATGCAGTCACTTTCACAACTGTTACAGAGGTCTGAGATCTGCAGATGATTTTAAAAAAAATTATAGGCCACAGACTTGTCAAAATGGCTCCCCTATGCATGATTCTATGATATATAAAATAAATATATTGAAGCATCAAATGCCACCAAAATTATGTAGAAAAGCCGTTCTTTAAAACAGCAGTATTTTACAATAAAAACAACAAAATAACAGCATCATATCTTTAAGAATAAACTACTTGGAATAAATGGAATTTTAAAAAATCTATTTAAAGGCTTGTATTGATGGAGCCATCTGCACTTCAGTTGAGAGGAAGTGCTGTAATCATGGAGCCACTACTAATGAGACCCTGTCTCTACTTTTTTATTTCATGACAAACTCATCCCTCCCCTTCCAATTTATGAATAGAGTGTAACCAGCTGAAGATAACATTTCACATACCTGATGAGATGGCTTCCAATTCACAAAAGGTCATTCCACAAAGCATTTGTTAGTTTTTTCAGTGCTACAAATTGCACTAGCCTTGCTAGTTGGCTCAATTGGTTAGAGCGTGGTGCTGACAACGCCCAGGTCACAAGTTAGATCCCTGTATGGGTGCATATTCCTGTATTGCAGAGTTGAATGAGATAATCCGTGGGGTCCCTTCCAACTCTATGATTCTATCCTTTGGTATGAATGAGGTTCTAATGCAAGGATCATGTTCCTTTGGGGGTAGTACCCCAACAGGGGTAATCTGTTAAAGGTTGCATGCTGGCAGTGGGTAGTGTAGAAGCCAGATCAAAAGTGGGCATAACTACCGAATTTTTCCAGGTATAGGTAGGGTTTTTTCCTTAAAAAATAATGTCAAAAGTTAGGGGGCATCTTATATTCTGGGCCATCTCCTCCCATTTTCTTAAATCTGAGTCCCCCAAAATAGGAGGAGTCTTATACATGGGGGCGTCTTATAGACAGAAAAATACGGTATTCCCTTTCTCTCTTTTGTCACCTCTTTCTGTCAGCAGGCAGGCAGACAAGCAGGCATGCTCGCACAAACACATCAAGTCAAACAGAAACACACACACATTCAGACAGCATTCTCATTCTTCTGCTAACCAACAGTGGAGCAGGGGAATCTCTGCCCTTCACTGTACAGCAATAGGAGGGGAGGGGGAACTAGGCAGGAAGTTCTCTTGTCGCCTTTAAAAGGGATCTCTGCTCTCTCTGGGTTGCCACCATTGCAAGAAGGTCTTAGAAAACAGGAAGAATTCCTGTTTCCTGAGCTGTAAGACCTTCTTGCAATGGTGGCACCCCAGAGAAAGAAGAGGTCCTTTTTAAAGGCAAGAAGAGCCACCCGATTTGGGGACTGAAAGAGTTTTGGGCACCTTAAAACACCTGAAGCAACTAGCAAGGACTGTGTGGATGAGAAAATCATTTTGGTCTTTAAAAAAGCTAAATGGGGTAGATATGGCACATGGATAAACAATCCCCGATTTACAATCTGGACTTCCAAAATGCCACACACAGAGCTATACAAGCCCTGACAATCTGGGCTCAGAGGTGTAGGAAGGGGTGTGGGGGGGTGCTGGCCACCCCTGGTGCCATCGTGAGGGGGGTGACAAAATGCCAGCTGAACTTGACGCTGTCTGTGTAGTGGAACCGAGTGGGGTTGAGTTGCATCACAACGCCAACGTATCTCTTTCCCACCTCTGTGGCCGGGCGCATGCACAGTGGGCCAGACCCTGTTCTCCCTGCCCGTCCATGTCTTGCCCTCGCTCAGGGGCTGTGTGTGTGTCTGTGTGGCCATGCATGCCATGGTCGAAGCTGTGCTGCTCACAGGGCAAAGCAGGGTCCTTCTGGGGCTGAGGCAGACTTCCGAGAAGGGCGCGGAGGCGAGAGAGGCTGTGGTCGCCTGTTTTCGCCTTTCATTTAAGGGCCAAAGCACACTGGTTTGGGGGTGGAGGGAGGGAGGTGAGAAGGAGCTGTGTCTCTGACGAGGCAAGGCGGGATCAGGACCAGCAACAACATCGCCTGTGCAGCTTTCTTTGATGGGGGGTGGAGGGAGGGAGTGGGAGAAGGCAGGATCTGCATCCTGATTGCCTGCACGGCTCTCTTTGACAGATTTCAATTTCAATGGGGGGGGTGACAAAAAAAAATCCACACCGGGTACCACCTGACCTTGCTATGCCACTGTCTGGGCTTTAATGAGATTTACTCCCAAGTAAGTTTGTACAGCACGCTTGCTCAGAATAAGTCCCAGTGCATTCAGTGGGGCTTACCCACAGGAAAGTGTGCTAAGAATCACAGCCTAAAGACATTTAGAACTGGAGCGTGCCTTATGCTGTTATGTTTCACTGCTGTTTCTTTGAAGAATTCGTCTGCAACAATGGTCATTCCAACTGTGCTAGATGCTGTATGGTTTTTAAGTGTAAGTTTATTGCTTCTTTTATTTCTTATGCGTTGCATTTTATGGTATTCCAATTTGAATTCAAACTGTAATGCAATAAAATGCAATTTGTAACGCAAACAAAATGCAAACTTCAATTAAAAGTCAATCTGAATATTTAATGTGATGCGTGTGCCGTCTCCTAGCTTCCACCACAAATCCACAGACATGCCTGAATGGAACTTATGGACCACTGGTGTTCCTCAGACCACAGTTTGGGAACCTCTGGTCTAACATGTATACAGTTATGCTGCTGTCATTGAAAAGGGTCAATGTGGGGGACAGCTAGCATCTACTACACCTATTACTCCAAAGGAGGACGCTGTCAAAACAGTAGGAATCCAAAAGGGGAAGAGCAGGGATTTCTATGATTTCTATGCTTGTGGTTCAGCAGGAGAGGGGGAATCTGCTCATGGAGCTTTCTCATGGCCTCCTTTCCTGCCCCTCCTAAAAGAAATCCCTCTGAAACAAAAACATGTATATGCAGAATCTGCCTCCTCAGCCGCAATGGTGGCCGCACCTCAAAAGCTGGAGCCTCCTTCCTCTGAGCGGGAAATGACTGAAACATAAATAGCTTGGAAAGAGCCAGGAAGCGAAAGGCCTTTCTTCTTCACCCCCCCAACCCCCGCTCCTTGGCAATAGCCGTGTATAGTTACAGTTTAATCTTGGAAATGTCAGACAGCTGTTCCCGGTTGCTAGGAGACCAGCGCACATTATGCAGATGTCGAGGACCTCAAATGTCTGCCGGAAATTGCAGCCTGCGCAGTGTGAGGAGAGATGCACATTTCCCTGTCTGGGGAGCCCAGCAGGAGTCTCTCCCCCCCCCCATACATGCACAGACACACACACATGCAAATACCACCCCAACCTTGAAGAGTTTTGGAGGGTGGGAGCGGCTACCCAGACAGTCGACTCAATACATTCTGGAAAATAAAACTGCACACAAAGGAATCTGGAGTAGAAGGTGTATCTCAGCTTAGTGTAGCAAGACAAGCAAATTGGGCCGAGGGGGTGTTGTTGTTTTACAGCACTGCTCTGTAGTAGAGGCAGCTGCTAAAAAAAGGTTGGAGGCCATTTTTGCAAGTGAAGATTAAACGGGCTGCATTTCCCATATCTATCATATGAAAGGAGCTCGTATGATCATTCAATTTAAGAGCAGCTCATTTCTACTTTCTATCTAGCATTACCAAACTTTGTTTTACTTTATGGGCCCAAGCAAGAGGACGTTTAAAAAATGAATGAAGTGGCTGGGCCAATCCGAATCCTGGTGGGAAACCCAATTTCTGCCAATGCATTAGCGGTACTGGCAAGTGGCAGTACTCAATGGCATTCTTGAAATGAAAAAAGCACACCCTGTAGGCTAGGCTTGAATGGGGCTTTGCTACCCAATAATATGCTATAGGCAGCATCCCCGCAGTGTTTGTAGCGGGGAGGCTTCCAAGTGCCTACTGCTGTATGTCTCTGAGAATGCATTACTTGTAAGGTTCTAAAAAAGTACCCTTTGAGGAAAAGGTTCAACAGAGACATCTAAAGAGCAAACAGAGGAATCCTATGCACCAGTTAGGCTGGTGGGTGAGGATAGAGGCTACATGTCATCTAGGCCTGCTCTTCTCCTCATCACAGGTTGCAGAGTCCTGCAGGAATAGCAGAGCAGCTGGGGAAAGAGAGGGGGGCTGCCCAGCTGCTCCCCACTGACCAAATGAGCAGCGCAGGGGAGGTGCTTAACCCTTCCCTCTCCGTCGCAAACCTGATGACAATTGCCCCACATGCTTCTACTAAATTTTAGAAGGAAACAGTTAAATCTCTCTGCCCCGCCCCTCACAATCACCCTGCAGTCATCAGATAATTGGCAAGAAGAATCTGAGATATGTGGAAGTGGTGAGGTGGCTGCAGAGTCCCACTGCTCAGCTGAGATGTGATTGTGTGTGAGAGAGAGGGGGGGAGGGCTGTCATCACTCACTTTTGGCTTTGTAAAATGGCACACACACACACACACACACACACACACACACACACACCATCATCCCTGGAAATGCCCACTTGTCAGGAAACATGCGAGTGATGATACCCACATGCCACCCACATATGGAAGAAGCCAATGTAGTCCTGACAGAAACACCCCCCTGCAGCACAATATGCAAAACCACAGCACAGCACCCCAATCCATCAGCCAGCACAGCCAGTCCCGAGGCGCCTCTCCAGACTGGGGTTCAAATCCCCTTATGCTGCTCAGAAGCACTGCTCTGAAATACAACCTACATAGGGTAGGAAGAAGAGCCCACATAACACAGCACACACACATATCTCTGAGCAGGAGGTCTGCAGAGAACACAGGCCTCGGTGGCGGGGAATGGATTCAAGACTCACCCAGGGAGGGAAGGACGCTTTTGCCAACCAGGGACAGGCCAGGACACGTGACAAGGGCAGCCAGAGACTCACACGGTATTATCCGGTGGCTTACTACATAGGACATGGGCCTGGGGAGCAGGAGATGGGAGTTTGAGTCCCACCAGGAGGGAAGGAAGGAAGGCAATTTCAGGGACAAAAGCGCGAGAGCTCCTGCCTTATTTCTTAACCACTCAGCCACAGATGTGCCATGATAAGGAATTTCTTTCTCCCTTGCTCCCCGAGAACCAGTCACAGATGCCAGGAGCACAAAGGCTGCAGGGAGGGCCCCAGCGAGGTGGGTCAGCTCCCAGTTTACATGCTGCAAGTCCCAGATGAGAATCCAGCGTGGGGGCCCACATGCAGGCATGGATCTGTCTGGTAAGAACAACACATAAAGTTTACCTAGCTGCCTTGGAGGCTCAGAAGATCATGATAGAGTACCGTGTGTTGTGATTCTAGTATTATTCACACCCCAGTACCCAGGATGCTTTTGGGCTAATTATAGGCTAATTAGGGAGGAGAGTTTTCTGGCCCATCCCTGTCTGGTAGGCATAGCCTAACAGGACCAAAACAAAACGATGACTAAAGCAGACACCAGGGCAGCAGTATGTGTTTATAGAGGAACAGGTATGCCTCATGTAATTGGTAGGATTTGTCATACGTTGTTGCTATTTTCTCCAGTCCTGTTTCCACATTTTTAACGGAACTGGGGTTAGTTTTTGAAATATGGCAACCCTAAAAGAAATGCCTTGGGCCCAAACTAAGGCTTTAATAACAGTCACTTTAAAT